CTTTCATTAAGGTCCTTCCACAGTGTTCTACAACTTGGCTTAAGGTGAAGCTTCTAATATCAAGTCGTCATTGTGATATATACTCATTATATACAAGGTTTTTAGAGAAGTTACCATATTTAATCTTCTAGCCTAGATGGGTGTATTGGAAAAGTATACCTTTGAAATTTAATTGTGTTTTAGCATTGTATTACCTATTTTTACCATATCAACATATGAACATGAGTCAATGTTAAACCTCAATTTGGAGAAGAAGTCCGATGATGAGATGAGAATCACATGACATTCATTCGATATCATTTGAAAGCTAAGGTCAATATATCATCGACAATTTCCATATTTTCTACATAATGCATTGAGTTCATTTTTTAGTATAAAAGAGTTTTTTACTAACAAATGTGGGTAGGGCCGTAGGGGGTCATTTATTTTTTTCTATTGATGATACTTTTCTGTCACAATTAACAATTAACTCATCATAAAAAAGTTATGAGAAAATCAGTTAGGTGAGAAAGTTACAACTCAATTACACTAACAGCGATTTCGTAATATTATATTGATGAAAATATTATTGGGCATTTCCTCCTCGCGCATAGCGCGAGCAAGAAACTAGTATACTTATATATATAGGCGTAGTTAGGGAGCATTTTAGGCTGGGGCCTACACTAATTTCAATTGTATTTAAATTGTAAAGGTAAAAAATCACATAAAAAATACGAGTTACGTCTTCGATTCTTGTGCGCGAGTTACATTGAGGAAATTACATTTTGCATAAATGCAAGTTGGATTTGATATTCAAACAAAAAAAATTAAAAAAAAAAAAATACTCTGTATGATATTAAAAATAAAACATATTCACTGTGTACGTAAATTAATTGGGCTATTAGATTCATCTTTCCATTGTTTACATTAAAATTAATGTTCTATTTTCATACTTGGTGTTAGACAATTTTATTCGGACTTGTCGCCGATCAGTCACATTTCTCATCAACGTGAATAATACTTCTTGACATGCCAGTTACATTACTCTACTATTAGGGAAAAAATTGTTCACACGTACGTGTTACTTTTCACTTATGTTTAGTTATTGGAGTATGAAGGTATGATGCTAAATCCATGATTTCGTTGAACGGCGCTTTAAAACTCTAGAAAAATGCACAGGTTTAAGGACGTCTTCATCATAATTAAAATTTTGACTTCTTAATTGATTCAATGGCTCTTATGTCCACTGGTTATATGGACTATCCAATTACAATTGATACGCGTGGGGAAAGACACGTGGAGGTAGTGAAAACATACGTTGATTTTCTAAGTGAAACATTGTGGAAGCAACAGGGTGTAAAGGTGTTGTGCCACCAAAGCGTTTATGCGCCTATAAAGTATAAAGAGGCTTTCAAGTTTCAACTTTGTTCAAAAGTCAAACTCCATATATACTACTATTCACATATTTTGTTTTGATTATATTTTATTAATTAATGTATTATAAATTAAATTTGTTTTTATCGTAAAACAGACGACTTTATTTTAAAATCAAGAACGCATACAAGACAATATTCAGACAGATTTTACAGATTCAATTGTGAACTCTATGAGTAGACATAAAATCAGTCACCTCAAAGCAACTTGACTTGCTAAACCTGAAACGGATAAATTTAAGCCTAAAACGAACAGATCTGAAACCCTCTCTATCAAAATAACTTCAAAAGTCCAAACATTCAAATCAATTCCACTCTGACTAAAATTAAAACTAGCACTACTAAAGAAAAAATAATATTGCAATAAAATCTTTCTGCAAAACTCTTCCTGGTATGGAGGTGGTTCTGGAGGAGGACGAGCTCTTGCAATATGTATGAATACAAACTCAACCATCGTCGAAGCGGCCGGCCAAGGCTTCATGATCCAGCACCGATACAAAATCTCATCTGCAATCCGTTCATCAACCAACGTTATCTCCTCTGACATAGTTGCAATCACAACCGTCAGAAAACTTAAAATCGGAATAATCTGCCGCTACAATCCCATATTGATGGGACGACGGAAAATCTCAACCTCTACAAAGATGGAAGACGGACGCTAGGTTTTAGAGAGAAGCGAGAGCTCCCTCTCTCTAGGTTTCGCAGTAATGTCACCATATTCCTAACTCTGGTACTTTGATAATTATTATAAATTAAATTTTTAAAAAATATGTTTAAATTCTTCTCATTCTAAAATTTCAAAATACGATTTTTTACTAATAACGAATGAAAGATATGAATGTTCAAACTCGTGTGTTGGCAAATTTGAAATGTTGACTGTTGCAAGTTAAAGGGAACGGACGAAGTATTAAATTGAATGAGCATATTTGAAAAAACGGGAATTAGTTGAATTGGGTGAATTTGTTGAAATTAATAAAGTTATAGTTGAATTGTGAGAGAGAGAGAAATTACTATATACTCTATTAATAAAATAAGGAATAAATTATATGAAAATAATTAAAAAGATCTTCAATAATAACTTCAACCAAATGACTTTATAACAATATGCAGTGCACGAAATCAAATATTACGTTTTTGGTGTAAAAAATGACTTATGATACTGATAAGCCGAAATAAGGGTCACCAAACGGGCTTTATACTATGAACATTTTTAACACCGATGTTTTTTAAGGTGTAATTACAAGAATATCGATGTATACTATCTATGAGAGAAAAGTGTAATTTTTTTCATTGGATTACGAGTTAAGTGTGACTCACATAATTATGAATTATCAACTTTAAAGCCTAATTCCAATTTCATGTTAATTTTATAATGATAAAATACGTGATCATATTGGGATATATTCTATTAAATTTTAGTATATTATTATGGCTAGAATCCTATCTATTTTTGGTTATTATTCTTTAGCCTTTTATATGGATACTGATGCTAATTAATCGGATCCTTTTTTTGTGTATTTATATTGGCTGATTGGCTTATGAAAAGACATAGGGTATGTTTGGCAAATGGGTGTTAGCTGTTGTTGTTAGCTGGTTGTGTCAGCTGTTTCCTAACAGCTGGTTATGTTAGCTGTTTTGACCGGCGGGTTATGTTAGCTGATTATAGATAATTGAATTGTTTGGTAAAATTGGTTGTTTCGAAATGGCTGATAGAGTGTAATTGAACCAGCCGAATGAATAAGCTGCCCCCCTTAGCTTCTTCAACAATCCATTTTTTCAGCTTTTCAAACTCAACAAGCTAATTTTAAAAGCCATTTACCAAACATCATTATTAGCTTCTTTGACCAATCAAACAGCTGAAATGGGTCAAACAAGCTAAAAGCCGGCTGATAAGCCATTTGCCAAACATACCCATACAGAATACAATTCATTTGAGTCTGCTTTCTTGACTATACCTGCGTGCGTGAGTTATTATGGTATCAGAGAGGTGGGATAAGTAGTCGATTATTTTCAAACATCCGCAGGAATGTCTACGGAAGACGATGAATCAACACCTGCAACAAAAATTGATTATACTTTTCCATACTTCTTGGGACCCCAGGACCGACCGGGTGATTTCATCACTCCGGTTCGTCTCAAGAACAACAATTTCGAAGAATGGTCCAATGTTGTGCGGTTGGCCCTTCTTGCAAGATGAAAATATGTTTTCGTCAATGGAACTATCAACGAATCAAAACCCCCTTGCACCGAGGAGGATAGGCTTACACTCCACTCTATGATAGTCTCCTGGCTATTAAATGTAATGTCACCAGAGGTGAAGGGAAACCTTTCACATTATGAAGACGCGTGATGACTGTGGAGCGATTTGAAAGAGAGGTTTGCTTTAGTTGATGGTCCGAAAATACATCAAGTTAAAACGGACCTGGCTAAATGTGTTCAGACGAAAGGAATGACCGTCGGGACCTATTACTCAAAGTTACGGACTTTGTGGGATTCATTAAACAATTATGAACCGTTAATTCAGTGTAAATGCAACAAGTGCACGTGTGATGTACTTGGTCAACGTGAAAAGGGGAGGGAATCAGAAAACTTACATCAATTTCTAATGGGAATTTACACCCGATTTTTATGGAGTACGGTCACAATTGATGACACAAACAGAATTGTCGACTCTAAACCGTGTTTACCAGCAGATGGTGCAGGAAGAACGTGTACGGTGAATTCTGCAGACTCAGGAAGACAGGCCAGACTGTGACACCGCACCCGAACGTCCTTGAAAATTCAAATTAAAAATTCAAAGTTTATGTATTGAATTTCTGATTCCCAAACAATCGTGAAACGATTGTTGTTTTACGTAATTAACGATTGATTATTATACTGTTCGAACTCGTATATTAGTATCGGGCCTTATTAATAAATAAAAGGGCCTAGCATTATCTAAATAGTGATACATAACGTTTCAAGACAAGTTGAGGAGGGGCGGGCGGCCCAGATATTATTTTGGGCTCAACCCGCTAGAATAGCAAGTATTCGAGAATGGCGTCGTAGGCCCACTCGGGGGCGACCCACACGGCTGGTAGCCCAATAATATGGATGACAAATGTCAAATAAGTGATAGGATGATTTGAGATGAATACAAATGCCTATAACCCCATCTTTGGCCTTATTGAGCTAAATAATGGGAATAGGATTTTCCTCCTATAATGTCCATCTTGTAAATAATTGGGATGATCCTACACATATTGGAGATAAATAATGTGATGTAGGAAGTTGACTTGTTCTAAATAAATTAGGATGAGTACAAAAAGACATCTTTTGACAAAGATAAAATAATAGGACCCATCCTTCCATTTTTGGGTGTATTGATAGATATTTTGGATCCCAAAATAATTGGGATCAATGGGGAACCACTCCACATGATATTAGTACCTGCAAGACAAGGAAAATATGTGAGAAGACTCACCTTGGCCGCACCACATGGAGAAGCACTGCCCATGACACAATTGGAATCAAATTTTGGGGCCACCACCACTGTTTTCGCACAAACAGGTGTGCTGTTTTGTCTCCCTTCATTTTGAGAGTTGTACTCGTCCAAATAAGGTATATAAGGTGTCCTTGGATAGCCCTTGAAGCCTATTTTCATAATTGAGTGGCCTCTGTTCGATAGGAGAGAGTAATCATCCAAAAATCGATCTGGAACGAGCAGTGGTCTGTGAACTCGAGCTGTGAGAGTACTGAGACTGTTTGGTTGATATCTCGAGTTTTACCAATCCAATTAAGGCGTGTGAGATACCAAAAGAAAGATCTCAAGACGAGGAATCCGTGAAGGTCTGGTTTGCATCAATCGGAGTAGAGGAAGGCTTCCAAATCGTCCGAGCAGAACGCGACCTCGCAGGAACGGATTTACTCTTCTAAGTGAGTTGTTAATCCCAAAACCTTTCCTTTCATTTTCCAAATGATATGAACGATTGGTGGAACTATTGTACACTAATCCAATTGTATAATATGTCCTTGTAAAGTTATTTTATTGATGTAAAGGTTAGATACTAACCTAGAACAAATCTTGGAAAAACTAGGAAACGAGTTAGCCGGAAAACACCCATTCTAGGGGCTGTTTTCGTATCAACGATTAGGGGTTGAAATAGCAACTTGAGGAGGCTGTTTAACACCCATTTTCAAGCAAGGAACCAGTTCTCAATCTTCCTTGGCCGTGGCTTTGGTCATTGGATCGAGAAGGAAAGTTTTAAAGCTCATTTGAGGTGAGGACCGACATCTAGTTGCTTACAACTTGTAGGTTATGCATAAGATTACCTAAATGCTTGAATCATGTTTTTGTAAATAAATATGCTTGAACATGATATGAATGATAAGTAATGGACTTGATCATGAATTGAAACCATATTGATGAATATGGAGTTATGTGAGATAAAAGTATGTTAATATGGAAAAATGACTTTTCCAACTCATGTATGAATGTTATGTGTAGGTAAATGTATAATTTCATGATGATGCTTAGCACATGGGAGGCTGCCACCTATCTATTGATATGGAGGGGCTACCATTAAGAATAAATGAGTTGTAGGAATAATCTTAATAGTATTGTGATGCTAGTTAAGGATTGTTCTAAATGTCGATAGAATCAAACTAAAGGTTTGAGTTGTTTGTGATGAACTTGAATAAGATTCAAGTGTGAAGTGTGGTTTCATGGAGTAGGAGATCTATGGTGTGATTGTATGAAGTAGGAGATCTATGGTGTGATTGTATGAAGTAGGAGATCTATGGTGTGATTGTATGAAGTAGGAGATCTATGGTGTGATTGTATGAAGTAGGAGATCTATGGGGTGAATACATGAAGTAGGAGATCTATGGTATGATTATATGAAGTAGGAGATCTATGATGCGAGTGCATGATGATGTACTCGAGCCGAACTCTAGAAATGAGAAGTTGTATTAGGGTTGGACCCTACGTATGTCGTGACCATTAGTCACGGGGTTTTGGAAAATGTTTTATAACAAACATGGGCCTTTGAGCCGGCTACTTGACTTTATATAAAGTAAGTATATATTTTGAAAGGGGTAATTTGAGATTACGGCCTATACTATATTATCACCCTATTTGAGGGTCTTGTGTGTGAAATACTTGTTGTATATCTATTAGATGCCTGCCACACCAGCACTTTATAGCCCTATAGAGTGCTGACCCCTTCGGGGGCGTCCCACCACCATTTTTCAGGTTGAGGCTAGAGCTTGCTTCCTGTGCTCGTTGCTCGAGAGATCATATAGGAGGGAAGACTTGGTTCGTGCTTCCTCCATTCTGTTTTTAAACATTAATAAACATGCTCATGGATATTTTACTATAGAGCCTGCGTGCTCATGAATAGCCATGTGTGGCCCTTTTGTTTTAAACAATGTTTTCCGCTGCGTTATGAATTACTTATTATGTTTGTTTATGGATGTATATGTGTGAATGATATTCAAGACGCCTTGTATAATATGAATGTGTTGGACTGCGGTTGACTATTCGTATTGTACGGCGGGTTGTTGATGTGTCCGGATAGGTCCGGGGCGTGACACAGACGTACTGGGATTTGCGGTCTAGACTGACGGGAAAGGCACTGGCAGAGGTGTTAAACCGGATAAAGCCGGATTGCAATGCTCCTATTGTAAATTTTCCGGTCATGAAGTGACCAATTGTTTTGAGCTTAACGGATATCCGGAGTGGTGGGGTGATAGACCCCGACCCGGGATTAAAGGTGGCGGTCGTGGTCGTTCCACCACTTCTGGAATGACGAGCAACTCTGGAGCACCCCACGGAAGACCGGTGGCGAAGGCTCATGGTACCGTTGCAGCTGAAACCAAGCCGCAGCAGCATCATACCGAAGGCAGTAGCAGCCAGGCAGCTCCTCTGCCTGGTTTCACTCCCGAGCAATGGAACTCCTTGTATTCCGTGTTTGGTAACTCGCTCACTACTAACGATCGCATGGCCGGTACATTTAATAATAATGCTTGGATTATCGATACCAGTGCTACAAATCATGTTTGTGGAAATCGGTCCTTATTATGTCATATTAAATTTGTTGACCCATGCACTGTTGGGCTTCCCGGTGGACAGACTGTCTTAACTGCGCTGGAAGGGAGCGTACAATTTACAAATGATTTATTTTTAAATAATGTGCTCTTTGTTCCTAAGTTGCAGTGTAACCTTATATCTGTATCTCAACTGAGTGATGCGCTTAATTGTTTCGTTCAATTCACTTGTAATATGTGTGTTATACAGGACCGTCCCTCGAGGAGGCTGATTGGAACGGGTGAGCGGAGGAATGGACTGTACTATCTACGGGAGGAACCAATGGCACATATATTGGCAGTCAAAGAATCAAATAATGTTGTTGTTGAACTGTGGCATCAAGGGTTGGGACACCCAGCTTCTCAAGTGGTTGAAAATTTGGCCCCTGTACGAGGTTTGAAGAATATTGGAAATTTTCCTTGTGACATTTGTTTTAGAGCTAAGCAGACTAGAGAACCTTTCCCTATTAGTTTGAATAAACCTAAAGACATTTTTGAGATGGTACATTGTGATTTGTGGGATTGACGTGCACTTTGTCGTGTATGCACTCAAAATAATAATCAATACGACACTAATACGTAGTATAGTGTAGTAAGGTTCGTATCCACAGGGAAAGGACTATTTTTCTTTTATATTATAACTAGTAACAAAGGGGGGATTTAGGTTTGAGTGATTTAATTTAATTAAATATGAAGATGAACGACTTATATGAGTTTAATTAATAGAGATGGAGACTTGGTTTTGCTTTTATCCACTTAATGAAATCTTCGTCGATCCCGGTTATATCTTTAACTATCTTCCTCTCGAATACTCAATCGAGGAGTATATCCAGTTCATCATGGGTAGTTATTAATAACGAGATGCGTTCATTAATAAAACTTACTACCGAGTTAATATAGAACACGCGCCGTATATTAACCCGATAGTAGCAATAAAATCAAGATGAAAACGATTGAGATTGATAACCTCAACACAAGTGGTTTATTGGTTTAATCAACATAATTAATTCCTCTTGGTTTATTAACCATGAAACGCATGCATTAATAACCCAAGTTTACTACCGTGAAACGATCGAACGATTAACAAGCGTATTCGTCGATTGATTCTAGTAATAATTAATATATGAAACAAAACTAGTTGATCCTTTAAGTAATGTTCAAAATAGTAATATGAAATATGAATGGAATTAATTAATACTCAAGGAAGAATATTAAAGAAGATGAATCCTACTATAGTTAATATCAAGATGTTAACTAATTGTCATCTTAGTAACACTCTGATCCCCAATATTAACGTAAAGGAAGAAATAACTATTACTATAACTAATGTCAAGATGTTAACTAATTGTCATCTTAGTAACACTCCCCAACATTGATATAGAAATAGTATTTAAAAGAAGAATTAATATTCAAGGAAGAAGATTAAAGAGAATAACTCACAACTTACAAATTCATTAAGCTTCAAAGTAGCAAAACCAAGATGGAAGAGTTTAGCTTCTCGTTTGGAGACTAAACATGATAGAAAATATAAAGAAAACACTAATCTAAACTGAGCTAAAGGGTATATGTGAATTGGTGTTTTCATTGTGAAGGAAAAGGGTGTATTTATAGGCTTTTGGGAGCTGCATGGTCTGATACCCGATCGGTATATAGAATACCCGATCGGGTATCTTAGGAAATTGCCCAGAAAGTCACTTTTCTGGGCATACCCGATCGGGTATGTGACAAATCTTCACGAAAATTTGCTCCCACGATCATTTTGTTCTCAGATTTGATTTGGACAATCGAATCAAGCGAATACCCGATCGGGTATAGGCAATACCCGACCGGGTACATGAGTATTTTTTTCAAATCGAAATCTTTCTTGTCTCCTTGCCCTTTCCTTGACCTTTTAAGGTCCAATCTTGATCCCTGGATGGTCTTTGACCTGTTTAGCTCAGAATAATCCTAATCTAAACAAATTACAAATAAAAATGAAAATAAAATATTACACCAAAAGTGTGTAATTTCCACAATTACAACTAATAAAAACTAGTTAAAAATACAAACATACAATCGGAAATTACACGAATATCAGGGATCCATATAAAACACCTCCCTCGTGTGGTGCTAGACAATTTTTGACAATTGTTGATGATTATTCTCAAGTTGTTTGGATCTATCTGCTTATTGATAGAACGGAAGTTTTCAAAATGTTTCTCTCTTTTGTTGCTATGGTAGGACGCCAATTTTTCAAGAAAATATTACGTGTGAGAAGTGATAATGGGACCGAGTTTAATTGTTTAAAAGATTTCTTCCGTACTAGTGGCATCATGTTTCAAACCTCTTGTGTGGGTACACCCCAACAAAATGGACGTGTGGAGAGAAAGCATAGACATATTTTAAATGTGGCACGTGCATTGAGATTTCGGGGGAGCTTACCTATTTCGTTTTGGGGAGAATGTCTATTAACGTCGTTTTATCTGATTAATCATACACCTTCAGCGCTTCATGATTATAACATCGTGTTATAAATCCCTTCGTGTGTTTGGATACTTATGCTACGCCTTTAATATGAAGTTCAAGGGTGAAAATGTGTATTTGTGGGATATATTTTTAGGAAGAAGGGATGACATGTTTTTTATCTAGAGACTCACGAATATTTCGTGTCTCGTAATGTAAAATTTTTTGAGCAAATATTTCCATTCACATTTGCTTCCTCACTTACGGATATTTCTCGCTCCCCGGAGGACTCTCAACTGCTAATGCCTACGGAATATACTGATCCATTCTCCCCGGGGTATTCTAATGTACCTGCCGTAGTGCAGACACCACCTCAGGAGGAGACTACGTCACAAGCAGATGGTCCTTCCTCAACTATGTCCCAGGATACGTCCCTTTCCAGCGCAATAGCTGACACGCCGCCCACTACTTCCCAGCAGGAGCTCCACGTTGACTTAGGTCGGGGTCAACGCACACGCATGCCTTTCGTCCGTCTCAAAGATTATGTCACTCACACCATTGTTAAAAACAGTCCATCCCCCTCTCCTCCCGATTCATCATCTTCTTCAGGTACGCCGTTCCATATAACTCATCATGTTACTTGTGATTCCTTTTCCTCGAAATATAAGCTTACCTGGCAGCTCTTAATTCTGTGGTGGAGCCTCGATCATTTAATGATGTTGTTAAACATGATGGACGGCGCAATGCCATGCGGGCTGAAATTCAAGCACTTGAAAATAATTCCACTTGGAGTCTTGTTCCTTTGCCTTGAGGTAAACGCGCATTAGGTTGTCAATGGGTTTATAAAGTCAAGCATAAATCTGATGGTACAGTTGAACGTCTCCAGGCTCGTCTTGTTATCTTTGGGAATCAGCAGACTGCCGGTCTGGATGATACAGAAACGTTTGCTACAGTTGCTAAAATAGTGATTGTGCGCGCGTTTCTTGCTATAACGGCCACTAAGCATTAGGAATCACATCAAATGGATGTCCATAATGCCTTTCTACATAGTGATTTACATGAGGAGGTCTATATGACTATTCCTCCGGGTTATAAAACTTCGGATACTACTCTGGTCTGTCGGCTTCATAAATCCTTGTATGGACTGAAGCAGGCTCCGAGGTGCTGGTTTGCTGAGTTGGTTACTGCTCTCAAAAGTTATGGATTTCTTCAGTCATATGCAGATTATTCCTTATTTACTCTTACTCGAGGGGCTGTTTAGCTTAATGTTCTTGTTTATGTGGATGATCTCCTTATTTCTTGCAATGATGGTGTTGCTATTACCCGTTTTAAATCATATCTTAATGCATGCTTCCATATGAAGGATCTGGGCACTCTCAAGTATTTTTTGGGCATCAAAGTTACCCGCAGCTCGACTGGAATTTATCTTAACCGACAAAAATATGCACGGGATATTATTACCGAAACAGGTCTCTTGGGAGCGAAGTCGGCTTCTTTTTCGATCGAGCAACATCATACACTAGCAACGAATCCTGAATTTTATCGTCGGCTTGTTGGACGACTTATTTGTCTGGCCTTTACTCGTCCATACATCACATATTCAGTGCACATTCTTTCTCAATTTATGCAAAAACCTCTTACGGATCATTGGAATGTTGTGCTGAGAGTTGTCTGGTATCTAAAAGGATCACCTCGACAAGGGAATCTGCTTCGCGAAGACACTGATCTCTCTATCTGGTTGGTGTGATTTTGATTGGGCGGCTTGTCCTGTCACTCGTTGATCACTTTCTGGTTGACTAGTCTTTCTCGGTCATCCGCCCATCTTCTCGAAAACTTAGAAACATTCTATTGTTGCTCGTTCTTCCACTGAAGCTGAATATCGTTCTATGGTTGTCGTAACTTGTGAATTAAAATGGCTCAAGGTTTTACTTTTAAGTCTGCGAGTTCAGCATCATCAGGCTATATTCCATTGTACTGTGATAGTCAATTTGCTCTTCATATTGCCCAAAATCATGTGTTTCATGAGCGTACCAAACATATTGAGGTTGACTGTCATTTTGTCCGCGATGCTGTTCAAGCCAAGATAATTTCTCCCAACTATGTCCCCACTACTATTCAATTGGCGGATATATTTACTAAAGCTCTTGGCAAGGTTCAGTTTCAGACTCTCCTATACAAGTTGGGCATTTTAAATCCCCATGCGCCAACTTGAGGGGGTATTGGGAGATATTCTATTAAATTTTAGTATATTATTATGGCTAGAATCCTATCTATTTTTGGTTATTATTCTTTAGCCTTTTATATGGATACGGATGCTAATTAATCGGATCCTTTTTTGTGTATTTATATTGGCCGATTGGCTCATGAAGAGACATACAGAATACAATTCCTTTTGAGTCTTCTTTCTTGAACCTGTGTGCGTGAGTTATTAGATCATGAATAGTTAAAAGATGATAAATTAATTTAGGGAAAATTATCAAAGTAGGAGTAAAAATATTTGAAAATTCTAAAATAGGACTGCCATGTTTTTATTCCCCAAATAGGAGTAATTGCTGCAAATTTGAAAATTACTTATATGTTTAAAGTCTGGTATTGTCAAAACATGACAATAATTATTTCTATTTTAGGGAATAAAAACATGATAGTCTTATTTTGAAATACACAAACTTTTTTAGTCTTATTTAAGGTAATTTCCCATTATTTTATTGTTCAAAAAATGGAATTGTCTTCAAGGAGAAAAAAATATAGCAAAATTAAATGATGGCACACGAGATAAATATCATCATTAATTTACTAAATTCATGTGAAATTATAAAAAGAATATCATCAAACTGTTGAATATAATAGAAAACTTCAAGGTTCTTCTTCTTTGTTCTAGGCTAAATACTCTGTTGTTCTAATTTAATTTATAGTTGAATCTTAAGAGCTACTAGTAAGATTTAAACCATATTAATTAAGTTGTAAAATTGCACAAACGTGATATAACAAAAAGTCATACACACTACATTACTACAAATGAATGGTTGTTAATGATTTTAAAACATTAACATCCTTTCAATACATATCAAATATAACATAAATTGTCTAAAAAGAAAAAAACAATATATAAACACACATTTTGTTAATTTAGGGACGCACAAATACATACTTGGGTTATAAAATTGTTGATCTATAAAAGAGATTTATTGGTATGAAAAATATATAAAAATTTCAAATGCATTATTTTTGAACGGTCTGGAATGGTATTTTTCGGATCTCAAAATCTAGGACTGTCCCGTACCCGTTTCAGTACGAGATAAAAATTT